TTTTTTATTATAATTTAATTTAAGTTTAATAATGAAATAATTTATTGTTGGTTTAATAATATAAATTTTATAAAGATAATAATTAAATATTCTATTAGAACTCAATGATTGTCCTAATTATATTTTAGATTTTTTATATTTAAGATGAGATGTTTATCCTGTATTTGATTATGTTTATCTACAGTTAGAACACGAATTCATATATAAAGCTTTAATAAGTTGTACTTACGCATAATCTATTTGTAATCTTGAGTGTTAAGCAATATGCATTATTAAACAATATTTTACGAATAAAAAGTGGTTTTTAAGAGTTTTTGTCAAATGTTTTATAATATAGTATAGATAATATAATATTTATATAACATATAATATGTTATATATGTGTATACATTATAATATATTATTATAAATTATAATTTTATTTACTTTGTCCTCTATATATATCAATACTAATATAATTTATATAGAATATATATTATACTTTTATTTTTTAATAAAATTATTTAAATAACATCTTAGGACAATTTAGTCATTTTAACAGTGTTGTTCTATCTGATTATGACTATAACATTACAGAATAATTAATTAATCATGTCCTATTAAATACGGTCCTATCTAGTTTATATAACAACGCTACCTAAATTTTTTCTACAATGATTATACGTAAAGATCAAACATATGATTTTACGAGTTAAGAAGCCTTCAAATTTTTTTAAATTGGAGTTATGTAAGTGGAAATTTTTTGTATTAAAATCTTTTAAATATCTAATAATTTAAAATAATAAAAGATTAAAAACCTATTTAAATCCGTTACAAACTTTTTATATAATTATTTCTAAAAAAGAAAGTAGGAAAGTCAAAGGAATTCTAGAATGGGCCCAAAATCAGGAACACATGAGACATAAACGAGGCCCTTTTCTAATAAAAATCTCCCGCCCAAATATTTTTCTTGTCGATGTGTCGTTGTAGCACTATTATATATATATAAATACGCATTTCTTCACATATCCCCTTTCATCTCATATCTCCCAAATCGCAGACGAATCAAACCCTAACCCTAAATTTCTTGCTAAAATTCGTATGTTTTTCTTCAATGTTCAATCTAATGTCCGCAATTTTAAACCGATTCGTTGTCGATTTTGACCTAAGTCGTTGTTTTTGGTTTTATTTTTCAGGATCACACCATGAAAGGGGGTAAATCAAGCGGTGGTACGAGAAAAGCCGATACCAAGTACGATTTCTTTAATCTGTACTATATCTCACGCATACCATTCGTTAGGGTTTTTATGTTGTTTATTGTTTTTAGCTTCAATGATGTCAGATTTTCCCTATTGGTTCACGAATTTGGTACCTTTTGATGATTATATGTTTCTTTTAGGTTGGCTGTGAAGAAAACTCAAGCCAAAGGGAAAGCTGTGAAGGATCCCAATAAGCCTAAGAGACCTGCTAGCGCTTTCTTTGTATTTATGTTAGTAATTATTGTTCTTCTATCTGTTACGTCTATTTTTATTTCTATTCTTCTCTTCTTTTTGATGTTTTTCCCCCTTTTGATCTAATGAAGGGAGGAGTTCAGGAAGCAATTTAAAGAAGAGAACCCCGGCAACAAATCTGTTGCTGCTGTGAGTGATCGTCCTTTTCTACCTTTTATATCTTAAATTTGAAGTTTTGTTTCCAGTACTCTGTTTCTAGATTGAGTTGGTTTGAATCTTTCTTCCGCTTTTGATTTGAAAATCACTTGTTAATGATGAACAGGTTGGTAAGGCTGGTGGGGCGAAATGGAAGACAATGTCAGATTCTGTAAGTCGCACTTAATTTACATGGTTCACTTTAGGAAGTATAATAAGTATGATGATTACATAAAGGATTGGCCTTGAGAGTTGAAATGGTAGAAGAGTAAACACTAATTATGGTTTCGTTAGCCAAATTCTAACATTTTTCATCCAAACTTATGACATTTAATAGAGAATTGATGTAGTATTAAACTATTTGTAACTTGGTCCATGTATTATGGCCAACAATGAGTACGAGCAACAAGTTTTCATGATTACAGGCGGATTGTTTACCTGTAGCTATTCAATAATCGTGTATACAGATGCTCTGGTATTTTGATAAGTTGAGATATTTATCAGTGGTAATCTGGATGATGTAATTATAGGAAAAAGCACCTTATGTAGCCAAAGCTGACAAAAGGAAGAAGGAATATGAGAAGAACATGGCATCCTACAACAAGAAGCTGGTAATTAGTGTTGAATGTACTGTTATAAATCACTAGCATATTTGCAGGTTTTGTTTCTCTGACTATGAGTTTGTTATTATGAAAACAGTCTGCAGGTGATAAAGAAGAAGACGATGAATCAGACAAGTCTAAGTCCGAAGTCAACGACGAGGAAGATGAGGAGGAGAGTGAGGATGTATGTATTTAAAACTTCAAGTGCCCAACTTTTTTTAGTAAATCTTTAACAATCATTAGATTTAGCACCCTTTTTGGAAGAAACATCATGTGAGTTGATACACATTATTTCTGTTCCTAGTTACATTCTTTCTAAAAAGGGAAAAATGATGACTTTTTGGTGATGGCTTTGATGGTTGTCATATGGCCATTGCCCCATTTAAGGCTTAAATGAGTTTATCTTGATTAATGGGTTCTTTTTGTGTTTTTGTAGGAGGAGGAAGATGATGACTGAATCAAGAAACGGTTAGAGAAGGAATTTTTGTCTTGTTGATGGTTTAAAAAGTTACCCTGCTTTGTAGTTTTAATCTTATATTACTGTTAGCACAATTTAGATATATGAGTAATGGTTAAGCTTGCACTTTGTGTTCTTGTAATGAGAACATGGGTGCATAGAATAGATGTAAGGGAAAAGAAAGGTAACTTTTGTCGCTTAAATGTTAGCTTTTGTATCTTCCAAATCTTGCCCAAAAACGTTCTTCTTCGGCTAATTCATCCTTCTTTCTTCGCTCGCTTGGAAATTTTGTTTGCTTTACTTTGTATTGGTTTATGCTATTGGACTAAAGGGGTTGTTTGTTTACGTCTTAATAGTTTCATTAAGAGACATCTTCTGAATCATTAAGAGGTGAATATTATTTGACAAAAAAAGAGGTCTGTCTCTTAATGGTTCAAAAATCCTCTGAATGATTTTATATTTTGGGTCTCCCTTAACCATTAAAAGCCATAATTTCGTTGTAAATAATTACAGATAATTATATTTCATTTTGTGTTATATCATGAGAGCCTTTTAATCATTTTACATCAAACCATTAAGTAACTGTCAAATAGCAAAATGTATAATATCTAATCATGTATGCAATATTTATCTCCATTCAAAGGGTAAAGATGTATGGTTTATGAAAAGGTTTTTGAGAAAATGATCGTGGAAAAAGATTATTTCCTAAGTTTGACAAAAGTTTAATAGGAAGGAAAGGGAAACAAAATAAAAGAAAGAAAGAGTTTTAGAAAAAACTAACAAGAACAAATAATAAATCACATTAAATGATATTAGAAGGTACTAGAAGTGTAATTGTGTAATATTACGAGAGAAATCTTGATTTAATATTTCGTTTTGTTATTTGTATATGCCGATTTTATAAAACGGGTTCGTATTATATTTGAATAAAATTTAAGGGCCACATAGAAATTTACATTGATATTAATATCAATTAATAGTTTAAAAGCTTGCTTTTTTGTATAAATTTTAGTTTTATTTTTATTATAATTTAACTTAGGTTTATAAAGATAATATTTTAGAATTTTTATATTTAAAATAAGATGTTTTATCTTGTATTTGATTATATTTATCTGCAGATAGTTATACAAATTAGAGTTTTAATAAGTTGTACTTAAGCATAATTTACTTGTAATCTTGAATTTTAAGTAATATGCATCAATAAATAATACTTCATATATAAAAATGGTTTTTGAGAGTTTTTGACAAATGTTTTATAATATAAAATAGATAAAACACTTATTTAGGCATTATTTGTCAAAAATAAGTTAACTTATTTTCTGGGTACATGTTTGGTGCATATAAACTAGTTTATTGAAACGCTAGTTACAGTAGTATTTTGGTAGCTTATTTTACTTTTTCAATTAATATTAATTATTATTTATTACTATTAATTATAAATAGATATTAATAAAATTTAAATATTACTAATGTTAATAAATATTGTAACAACCCGCAATTTCACATAACAAATACCACACATGTGATATAAAACAAGCCATATTGGCGCCATACATTGGGTCCCAACTTACAAAGCTGTAACAACTGCCCGAAGGCTACTATTAAATTTTTGCCATCAATAATTTCATATAAGAAGATATAACATCATAACCATAATGTTAAAAGCAGACCTCACAATATTCTTCAACAAGCTTCACACATGAAACTACAATTAACATCATTACATACTTTTCTTTTACCTTCAAGAATCTTCTGGCCTGAAAAGCATATTTTTGAAAAATAAAATGAGGATTAGACCATACGTTCTAGTGAGGAAATCCCTGTCAGTTCACATTGTACAAAACATTTCAAATCAAACTTTCAACATATTTAACAGATAATAAACTTTTCAAAAAATAACATCCAACAACAAACACATACACCTCTTCGTTACATATACTTTGGCAAAACAGCAGGGCCAACCCAAAGCTTTTTGATGCCCTGTGCGGAAACGTTAAAACATGCCTCAACAGAAAAAAACACAAAATTATTTTAGGGTTTGTAAAACTGTTCAAATGGTGTTAGTCCATATCCAATCATTTGCACATTTTCTTCCAAGAAAATGGTGTAAAACTTTGTGTAAATTGTAGTAATTCAATTCTAATGACGTATTATATTACTTTTTGCATCAAATAAATTATTAAAAGTATATTTTATATTCTTAATTTATATACCTTTTTAATATCCTTACTTTTATTAATTTATACAAATTCTACGCATAAATTTTGTTATAAAATTTTATAACACATTTGAATAAACAATATACAGACAATGTAATTTCTACTATGTGTTAGTTAAATTTCATCTTCGGTTATGTATTTGTTTTTTATTTTCTTGAATCATAATACACACACATACATATCTATACCTATAATAAGTAAGTAACTTGAGGGATACGTATCATTTTCTGGTGAGTCGGTTTTATTGTTTTCCCGCCTAAACACGTATCTAGACACAATTTACATTAATGGTTCAATTAGACTTATTTGAATATATCTAGACACAATTTACAATAACGGTTCAATTATACCGATTTGATTGACACACTACTAAAAAATGTGGGTTTTCCGACGGCAAAATCCGTCGGAAAAACTACTTTCCGGCGGATATTGCCGTCGGAAAACCCCCCGCCGCTAAATGCAAATTCCGTCGCAAATCCGTCGGTAATGTTCAAAGAAAAAAGTTTTTATTTATATGTTTTCCCTTCCAAAAATATATATTTAAAAATTTCAAAATTTCCGATCGATAATAATTTTTATAATAAAAAGTTATATTCCGACACAAAAGAGTTATATTCCTTCGGAAATCCGTCGGAACTTATTAAAAATGTTTTTTATTTTTTCTTATAAAACATATATTTTTTTAAATAAATTCCGAAGGAATATACTTTTTATTAGAAAATTACAATCCGTCAAAATTCCTTCGGAAATATTTTTTTAAACATATTTTTTTGAAAGAGAGAAGAATAAAAAAAGTTTTCTTAAACATTTCCGACGGAGTATAATTAAATATAAAAATCAATTAAAATCCGTCGGAAATTTTAATTAATTAACGGTAATTAGTTTATTTAAATAAATTAGACCAATTTTGTGACGGATTTTCGATGGATTTGTAACAGTATTAAATAAATAAAAAAATCCGTTACAAATCCGTCGAAAAACCGCCGGGAAAGTTGTAGAAATAATTTTTTTTAAAAACTATTCAGTGACAGATTTGTGGGGGATTTGTGTCGGATGTCGACAAGACTTGACTTTTCTTGACTATACAGAGCTCTTAAGTCTGAAGAGTTTTACTTCACGGTTATTTCAAGAGTACAAATCCAAGTCTGAAGTCATTTTTCAGAGTTATTTCAAGAGTACAAGTTTTGAAGTAACATCGTACTTTCGATAATCATTCATATATGTAAGATAAGTTTCTGACATGATTTAATTTTTTCAAATTAC